CCCCAGAGGCACCAGGGAAGGGCTCGCCCCGCCTCGTCGCTCCTTCTGTGCGAGTCGCGGGGGCAGTGCCGAGTCCGAGCCCCCACACCGACCCCGAAGCAGCGGCGTGCGGCCTGGGAGAGGGGCTGCAGGCCCACCCAAGTGGGCTTTACTTTGGAGATCACGGACCTGGGTGAGGGGAGTATGCACTCTCACCCCAGGTCAGGGTCCTACTGGGGGCGGAAACTGCCCCCTGCCCTGGGAGACTTGAGAGGAGCAGCAGCAGTCCCCAGAGCTGCCCCCTGACCCTCACCCTGTGCCCGGCAATGCCCTCTCTGTTACCTGGGCACGGCTCTCACACAGCCTGTCTATTACACGGGCACGGTCCTCACCTGTGGGGTCTTGGCCTGGGTTGTGTTGCACCTGTTGTAAGACCTAAGGAAGAAAAAGACAAGTGGTGAGGTTTGCTCGCTGCCTCTCCCCTCCCGGCCACACTCTCTGCAGCACGATCTTAGGGCCGTTCTGCCAGTGGTCAGTAGGGGCTCCAGGCTCACCGAGGGGCTCCAGTGAGAGGTCAGAACTGGCTAAAGTCAGGCAGAAAGGAAAGGGTGTGCCGAGGGCCTGCTCTCCAAATCCTGGGATGGGCAGCTGTGGGGATGCCTCGGGAAAGCATCATCACCCCCTCCCTCCATCCAAGTCTCCGTCACTGACCTCTGTCCACAGGCCAGGCTCCTACTTCTATTCCCTCTCATGCCCCTTTTATACCTGAACCCAGACACTCCTCACTTTAGGATGATGAGATATGTAAATTTCCATGTATACTGAAACTCATTTCAAATACAGGTGGGCACATAACATCTTGGTCCGTGCAAAACACCTTTGCTGGTTAGCCTTCTCCTTCCGGGCCTTGGCCACCTGAAGGAGCCCGGTGACTGGGCAGGCACCACCAGACGACCGCAGGGACAAGAGAGCTGAAAGGCTTGTTCCTGTTGCATTTGGCTTCCAAAGGTGTTTGGAGCCACAGGCCTCCTGGACGGGCCTGCATTGCCCCTGAGGAGCTGGGTCAGCCTAGCAGATGCTGAGTGTGATCCCCTTCCCCCTCCACCATGGGGACAGGAAGGAACGCTGGGTTACCTAATCCAAGCAGCCTTCCAGCAATTATTTCATGAGAAAGTCAAGTGCCAAAAGGCGTGCATGTTGCATGTGTGTGTGCGTGTGTGTTCCAAATAGCTGTCTGGACAGGGTAAGCCAAACCGCTCCCTGCATTCTTTCCCGGGGTAGAATCTTTGATAGAGACCGTGGGAGACTACTGCGGCAGCTTCCACCCCAGATTGCCCTTGTAGCTCCTTCAGAGACCCTGGTCTCGGCCAGAAAAGCCCATTCCCTTTGCAGGACCCAAGGAAGGACTATGTGGGGAAGTCTCAGGAGGCACCATCCGGCTTGACCCCTGGCCCACAGCCCATGTGCACCTGGGCCTGGGCCTGGGCCAGCAGCAGAGGTGTGTGTGTGGGGAGGGGGGCGGGGGGGAGAAGGGCAGGGGTCCAGCCTTCTCTCCTGTTCTCCAGGGGAAGGAAGGCTGGCCGGGTCTCTAGGGTGGAAACCCTAATAGTACGGGAGAGGTGTGAGGCTGTAGAGACTGGCTGCCCAGGATCCATCCACCCTCTCCCACCTCACAGAGGTTATCTGGTCTCCCTTGATCCACCGTGAGACTATCTACTAGCAAGAGGGGCTGCTTAGGGGCAGGATTTTGTCAAGGGCAGAGACAGGGCTCCCTGTGGGTTCCAGGAAGACAGACAGTACAAGAATCAAACCATCCCCCTTGGCTCCTCTCCCTCAGCAGTCAGACCATTGAGTCAGCTGGAGATTAGCCTAGAGATAGAAGATGAACCAGGAACGTGAAGAAGAGGGGCAGAGGGCCAAGGGGTGCAGAAGGGGACAATTCTGGGTGGAGGTGGGGTATGAAGACCAGTGCCACCCAAGAGCTGGCTCCATACCAGGTGGAGAGAGGCGGTGAGGCCTCCAGCCCCCCTCTTCTCCCCGCCTCCTCCAGCTCGGCTCCTGCCTGGTACCAGGCTGTGAGGGAGGTGAGGGCTGATGAACCTGATGAACTCCCTCCACATTCACCAGCCCTGATGTCAGCAAGCCTGCAAGGCTGGCCTCCCACTGAGTCCTGGGGGCTCTGGCGCCTGCCCTCCCAGCTCCCCCTCACCGGGCTCTGACCCCTCAGCCGCCTGCTGGTCCCTGATTTGCTCTGGCTCTAGGCCTTCCTGCATTGCCCTGCCAGTCCCCTCATGAGAGCAAATCCTTGCCAGGCCAGAACCATGAAGTCCAGGGAGCTAAAGTCATGGACCTGAGATGGGGAAACGCCCTGAGCGGGACAGGGACTGGCCCCAGGACACACAGCAAGGCATACAAAGAACTGGACCAGGGCCTTGCCACAGATTTGAAACACTCCTTCCTGTGAGCAGTCCAAGCGCCCCTCCCAGGGCAATAGTCAAATTCAGCCACATCTGGGCAGCTCCTGCCTGCTCTCAGGTTGGTTAGAGACTCCGCTCCCCTGGAATTGCTCCTCAGAGGTCTCCAGTACCCCCACCCCATGTCCTGCGGAAGTGGCCCCCAGGACCACTCCTTCCTCCTCTCCCTCCAGACTCTCCTCACCTCCTTGCCCTCTCCTCCCTATGGACCTTCCTGAGTGGCTGTTCTTTCACTCATCCCTTAACATGGTGGTCCCCCGGGCTCTGACCTGGGCCTGTACCCCTTTCACCTGCAGACCTTTCCCACGGGGTGTCACCATGGTGATGACTCCCACTTCACCTCTCACCCAGCCCCTCTCCCTGTTCTACCCACCTCTGGCCTGCTACCCTGAAGGTCCCACCCAATCAATCCCCAGACTCCTCAGGTCCTGAGAAAGCACACAGGGAGAAGGAAAGGACGTAAGAAGTGGGACGGTTCAGTCGTCTGCCATCTGCCCACCTACCTGGTACCCCCTCCGCCTCTGCACGGGGTCCATGTGCATGGGCGCAGTGCATACACACAGGTGCACGCTCATGTCAGACCCCATCCTTGGAGAGCAGGGACCGTCTGCCTCAGCTGTTCCTCTGTCCCCACACCTGGAGCAGCAATGGCTTTAGAAAGTGCCCAATAAGCATTGGGTGACAGAAACCCGGGAAGGGGAGGCCATTAAAGAGCCAGTGGAACCAACAGGACTGCTGCATGGATGGACAATGGGGAAAGGCAAAGATGGCTCCAAAATGCTGGTTATCTGGAGGTACCGTACGGAGGTAGCACTCACTAAGACAAGTCACAGAGTGGGTGCCTTACAGGGCATGGGGAGCCATAGGGGCATCCATAGATGCTACACAGAATCTGTCTCCAAGGTCACATCAGCCTTTGCACTGCGTCAAAGACAGCTGCCGGCCTCACTGGTCACCTCACTCCTCCTCTGCCAGGAAGGGCTCAGGTTGGAGCGTCATAGGCCAGGTCAGACCCATTATCTGTCCGGCCCTGATTGGCCCTATCGCACCCTCCACGCAGCCGTCTGCTTGCAGGGGCAGCTGAGGGGCCTAGCATCCAGGCTTCAAAACTGGCTTGACCCCTGGCCCCACAGCCAATGTG